ATTTTTTTTTTTTTTTTTTTTTTTTTTTTTTTTTTTTTTTTTTTTTTTTTTTTTTTTTTTTTTTTTTTTTTTTTTTTTTTTTTTTTTTTTTTTTTTTTTTTTTTTTTTTTTTTTTTTTTTTTTTTTTTTTTTTTTTTTTTTTTTTTTTTTTTTTTTTTTTTTTTTTTTTTTTTTTTTTTTTTTTTTTGTTCAGAGCAAAATTAAAAGTACTCCCTGTAATTTTAGAAAACAGGTTTTAATCTTAACGGGATTTTTTTCTTTCCATTGCTGAAGACTTTTCTCTTTAAAATACTTGGGACTATAAAATATGGAATTTTTAGGGGGATGATACTTGTAGAAAAAAAAATTGCTCTTTAATGTTCTGCAGGAACCCTGTTTTGATTTGGCAAGGATACAGAGCTCCACACACTCACACTTTATGCACTGCATAGTAATTCTTTACATCAGTTTCTGCTGAGGGAAGAGGAGAAGCAGAAATCGTACATCTCATTTTTCCACAGGTTCTGCATTGGCTAGGAAGACACTTCATTAACGTTTGTGGAGGTTGCAAAACAGTCAACCCACTCTTGATTTGAGCTAAGTTTCCGGCTACCTTCCTTCTGGTCTGGTGGGAGAAAAGACCTCTGACAAAGAGCTTTGAGTTTTTACTTTATCCTGTCATCAGCTCCTCCCCAGACCCTGCTGTGAGCAGCCTGCACATGGAACCTTCTCCACTGCTCCCAGTGACAAAGAAGCTGGTCCAGAGGAAGGCATGAAAAATGGTGTTAATATTTAGCAGAGATAAAATGGGAAAAGTTACAAAACCAGAAAGTCTGTTTCTGGGAAATGCAAATGAACATTTAGCTTAGTGAACCTGAAGCAATAGCCTGTTCCCCCTCTTGTAGCTTCCAGTGCTACACAAATTGTAGAGGAAGCTATGTATAATGGGCAAAGTCAGGCGAAGTATGATTATGTGTAGGCCTGTAGCTATTTTTGCCTTTTTCCATCATTATCAATTTTCTTTGTCATTTAATTTCTTTATTGATATGCAGCCTGGCAAATAAAAGGTTTGAGTGCTTTGCTTATAACTCACTTGTAATGAGTGCAAAGCTTTTTTGCTCTTATCTTTCAGGTGTCTAATACACATGAACTAATTAGTATGTAATTTCATTTTCCTGCGTTCTCCCAATGAACTGAAAATTGAAATTGCCATTTTAAATTTACGCTCTCAGCATGTAATTAGTAATGGCACTACAATGCATTTAATTGGTTTGTGATTTAAAGGGTCAATGTCCATGATTTTGAAAGCAAATAAAGTCAGTCATATCTACCTTTTAAAGTTCTGCTGGCCTCTGTTTCTCCTCAGAAGTTAGCTGGGGTAAAACTACCTTTGAACTGCTTACCACTTTCTTAGTGGTGTTAAAATCCCATGCTTTTATTTTTCATTAATTAGTCCTGAAATATAACCAAAATGGTCACCTTACCTTGTCCAGCAATGAGTCTTTTTTGTCACCTCTTTTTTTAAAAACAGCATTTTCTCTTTTATCTTTTGACCTTTTGCATTTGTGGCTTTAAAATTGTTGGTTTGTGTTATTCTGATTTCACTTCATCTCTGTTCATTTGTTGCATGCATCTATATTTTTGTATTATTTTTTTTTCTTTTTTAAGGCAGTATGAATCAGACTAGATATGTCAATGTGCAGGATTGTTGATTCTGTTATGTCTGTATCATGTCCAAAATCATAAATTTTGAAGAGGATCCCTGTCTATAGGTTGGGTTCTTTCGTTTCTTTTGGGTTTTTTTAAAAGACTACCACCTTTTCTTTTTCAACATTTTGTGGTCTTTTGGACATGGAAATTGTTTTTACAGGGTGTTAACCCACAGCAACCAAAAACAGATTTGATCACACTCTACATTTAGATCACACTCTACATTTAGAGAATAATAAGAGTAATAAGAAAGTGCACTTACTACAATGTACCCTGCCATGGTGTAGGAGATGTGATTGAACACCTGAGCTGTTGTGGGAGACTGTTGGATACAAATGTAAGTTATTGAATAGAATAATAAGAGATCTATTGTGTTATCTTTCATTAAAATAGCATAAATTCTTTCTCTGGAGACATCACTGTGGTCATCAATAGGTTTCTAAATAAAATATTCAAACACTTATTTTATTACTGTGATAAGTAGAAGGACTAATTTACAAAACAACTGGACTGCTCAATTTGGTTGCAGAGTCAAAAAATGGGAAGTAAAGTTGGTTCAGGTTTCCTCTAGTTTTTATTGAATACAAGAGTATCCAAAATAACTGAGTTTGGGGTTTTTCCTCTTCCAAGAATTCATCCCTTTCGAGGTCTATTTCATATTTTTGATCTTTTCTGGGATCAGTTTTTAGAAGTCAAATGTAATTTCAAAAGAGAAAAACTGGAAGTCTTATTTAGAATATATGAAAAGAGCATTCTAATTCTTGCCTTTTTCTAATTTATTACCTAAATGGCTTCTCAGAAACTACGTGCTGAGGTTCAGATGAAACTTTATATTCTGAGATACAACAGTTTGATTAAAAAGGTGTCTAACTTCTAATTGGTAATTTGAATATGTTAGTAGTCCATTCCAAAA